CAACGTGCAGGTGGTTCCCAAGGACAAGAACCCTCCCAACACGCCAGAGCTCCGCCCAATTGAGAAATACTGGGCTATTGTCAAGCGGAACCTAAAGAAGACCAAAAAAACTGCTAAGGGCGAGCAGCAGTTCAAGGCAAACTGGCTTTCTGCGGCGAAGAAGGTGGACAAGGTGGCTGTACAAAATCTGATGGCAGGGGTCAAGCGTAAGGCCCGGCAATTCGGATTTCGAAAAGCGGAAGCCTTACTAAATATTTTTCCTGAATTTTATACTAATTGAACTTGAAAAAGAAATTTAATTTGATTTTTTAAATAAACGATTTCACCGATTTACACGCGTTTTCCCTTGACCAAATTTTGACCGTATTACCCTTTATTAGTGCAGAACTTTGGGTGAATTCAAAGGTTTTCTTGCACTAATACTTATAATTTGCACCAAGTTCTGCACTAATACTTGCGCATTTCACAAACGTCAGAGAAGTCTATAGAGATTGCTGACGTTTATCGTACGCACACTACGTCACGTATACGTATACGCAAAATGTTTTCATCGGGAAAAAAAACTTCATAGCGAAAATTTTTCCCGATGAAAACAAATCACTGACACAATCATACTTTAGCAATTTCTATTGGTCCCAAGCAAACGATTAACGTACCCCACGTTAATCGATTTGCTTGGGACCAATAGGCTAGTCAAGTAGTGAGCGTAGTGAACCAATCTAAAATCGATAGTTTCGTATTGTTGCCTCTATGGTTCTACTGGGATCTGTAAAAAGTTTTTGGTAAACAAAAAAGTCAACTGATCGATCTCATGGACAGCTTTATTATGAGTGCCTGACCCGTCGTTTTACACGTTGCTTGGTTTTGTAAATTTGGATAGGAAAGTTCTATAATAATTATAAATCAAAGTATTGATGATCTGTGTTCCGATTCAGCTTCAAAATAGGATCGATAATATTGTGAAAATTGTGCACAACACAGGACTGTTTCAATTTGTAACTAGAACAGAAACGCACCTCTCGCAATGCTGAGTTGCAGTTTCATTATGCGAGCACTATTTTGCATCAGATTTGCAACTGCTCGACTACTCTGTTTAATTTCTGAGCCAGTTTGAAACACGAATGGAACTATGTTTCAAATTTCTTTGGATGTGTTTAAAGATGTTTCGAAGAGCTTCACAAACAAAAAACGGAGAACTTCATAGAGAACAGTAAAGTTTATGGAACTTGATGATTACAAACATCTTTAACTCTTTTTTTTAAATCTTCGGACATGTTCAACAGATTCCTAATGTTGTACAGAGACGCTGTTAAATAAGAGACGCGCGAAGACTGAAGCCAAAAGTTCCAATCGCACCGTCAAACGCGGTTCCAATCGAGCAATGTAAATAAACACGAGAGCTTCACGAAGAAAAGGGTGAGAAGTATTGAGATTGGGGTTGAATTTAATTGTTGAGATTGGTTGTCTTTATTAAGGAGATTTTCAGCCAGACGCTGGTTAACTATTGAGATTTAAATAATTATAATTAATTTTGCGTATTAAAAGTGAAATTGAACAGGGCAGACAGTTTCTTACTTACACTTATGCCACGGTTACACTTGGATGACAAACTATGAGCATGAGCATTATTTGTACAATAATTATGAGCACTATACAAAAAATAAAAAAAGTGTGACCTGAAGTGCTCATAATGTATTATACAAATAATTCTCATGTTCATACAAGTGTATCCGCGGCATTACTAACATATACGTTTCATACACCAAATTAAACTAAAACTTATCTAATACACAACTACACTGCCGCTCTTCGCATGTCCGTCCTATATCAGAAATCAACAAGTCGGGAAAATCGCGTTTTAAGTTTGCATCGTACAATTGCCTCTTATGTACCGGAACAATTTTACTGTCTTTCCTAACTTTATCATAACAAAGTCATTGAGTTAATTTAGTATCACGAAAATATGGGTGATTATAAGCTACCATTTCCATTGAAAAACTCAGTTGTGATAAAAACGACTGTGAGGACAGATGGTCAGGTTTGTAAAAATAGGTTGTTTAACAAGATCTTAAGGCTAGCACGGGACGAATTGAAAAAAATAAAAGCTTTGTAACTGATTCGACTGAGTTTGATTCACTGATTCAACGTTCATCACTTGTCGAGTCGATAGAAAAGCCGTTTTAGCAAGTGAATAATCAATTTAATTCAACCCCCCTCCCCCCCCCCACACCATCTGGTGGTCGGTGTTCAAGTGACTGGAAAGTGGACTGCGAAAGATCAACATCGTTCATTTCTTATTTCAAGTGAATTAAAAACCGAATCACCTTACGCCTTAGGACCTCCTTTAGCTCAGTCGGTAAAGACCATGCTGGAGGTGGCTAGGTTTGATTCCTGGTCCAGTCTAGGAATTTTTCGGGTTGGAAAATTTCTCGACTTCCCTGGGCATAGAGTATGATTGTACTTGCCACACAATTATACTAATGCAAAAATGGTAAAGGCATCGAAAGCTCTTAATTAATAACTGTGGAAGTGCATCTAGAACAGCACGCGATAATCTAATAATGCCATAACCAATAAGCTTGAAATGCGAGGAAGAAGAAGAAGAAGAAGATCACCTTACACCCGCTCTCAATCTGATCCTTCAGCAGGCTGGCCATACCTACCGATTTATCGGTAGTCCTACCGATTTTCGGGATGCCTACCGATTCACAGACGAAAGGTTCAAAACTACCGATTTTTCACTTTTCCTACCGAGAATCACAGATTTTAAGTAATCTTGAAAAATGTTCAATACCTATGTTTTGGTTTTCCGTGTAGTCAGTCAATTTGATCGAACGCGATGCGTTTTGCAACTTCAATCCAAACGGATTAGTTTTTTTTTTACGTTTAATCAACTTTCTCTGTCTGTCTCCTAGCGGAGATTTTATTTTCTGTTTCTCCCTTTTTTGGTTCCGTATTCCGTTCGTCCTACTCACACTTACTTGTTATGATTAGACTAGAGTCGGTGTATAATGAGTCACGCCAAGAGAAAAAAAAAATTGACCTCGCATCATGGTTTTCGAAAGATTCTCTTTATGTTCACTTGGCAACAGGGAACTTTTACATCAACTTCAAATGACTTCTAGCGAGAAAAAAATAGTGGCTGTAGTAAAAAGGGGAGGGGGGAGGCTACTGTCAAATAAGAACAATCGTCGCCTACCTCGCATAACTGGTTCCAAACGACAACAAGCCATAAGCAGCGACGGTTTGTTGATGTTTTTAACCAAATTCACATATGGAAAATCAATGAGCGTACACAGGTGAGGCCCACTGAATTTGTCGTCTCTTTCGTTCTTCGGCTGTTTAAATGAATGACGGCGTTGGACGTCACACTCGTATAACCATTTATCAAACGGGAGAATGAAAGAAATTTCAAATTCACTGCGCGTTATATATTTACGTATCGTGGATCGATAATCAGTGCATCCCGCCCCTTGTAGTAAATCCTTTTATCAGTGATTTTGTAAAGAGGCAGGTCACCCCGCACACCAATATTGGGTCATCTTTTTTAAAAGTGTACCGCATGTGTGCCACAGGTGTGCCAATTGTGCCGGTCATGACACCTGGAATGTTTTGGTTTGAAATCGCAAGGAAAAAATCGGATTGAGGATGACGCGGGAAGTGGCAGGTATGCGAAATTTGTTTGTGTTGTGTTCATATAATAGTAAAAGTCCTGTGTTTTAGGGTATTATAATGTCCTCAAAGGTACACCAGAAACCTAGCCTGTCGTTTTGTGAAAAGCAGCAGTCTATCAGCGGCTGGAACAAGTCGGGAACATTGCTGGTGACCGTCTATAGAGGATGATGAATTGACTTCTGTAGTTTGTTTTGTGTGAGTTGCAGCATTATTAACTGACCCTTCCTCTTGAGCTCACTCTTGAACCTACATTTCGTATTTAGATCTATAAGTGAGCTGCTGGTCTGAGTTCCTCTGGTATATTCAATTAGAGGATGTTCCTGAATATGCAGTCAAACAGCATGTAATGTTGTGAACAACTTCAAGTGCTCCCATTTTAGTTACAACAATCCAATTCCTACGAAATTGTGCCCAAGCTGTGCCGAATATAATTTCGGCACAATATGTTGAGTGACTTACCCCTTGGATTTTGTCAAATTATCTTAACAAAAAATAGTAGAAATTCTCATTACTGATCATTACCAAACGTATCCCATGACAATTTGATGCTCACTGCGTGTTTATGATCATTTCTTCCATTAAAGTTTGTATTTTATTGCAATACCTTCGCAGCAAAAAAAAAAATCAATATTACATTTATTATAATATATGGTGTATTTTTGACACGATTGAAGTTCATCCACTTTGATGTGATATAAAAATTATTTTTTTGCTGTGTTTCGTGGACCTTTCATAGCATCGTAATGTTTGTTAACTTTCCACGATTGGTAGCCGGTTTGACAGTTCAATAGGTAGACTTGACTGCTCTCTTGGCGTGACTCATTATACACCGACTCTAGATTAGACAATACAATGTGTGAGGTTGAAGAACTGATGGCTCGGCTCGAAAGTTCAAAATTGCGCGTGATTTGTTTTCATCCTTCCCTCGCTCACAAAGGTTTTAAGTTTCGGGAAGGCTTCTTAAGACGGCCTACCGATAACTACCGATAAAAATGTTGAGAAGCTACCGATAATGAAAAAAATAATCTGGCCACCCTGTCCTTCAGTACTACAGGTATTGATAATTAATTGAGAGCTTTCAAAACCTGTTCCATTTTATGGTAATTACAAGTATGTTCTATGCTGTTAAAGTCAATACATTTTCTAATTTTAATTCTCCTTAACAGATCCAGTAATCGAAATCGTCACCTCAAGCATGGCTAAGGGAACTAACGAGGGTAAGTACTATTGCTAATAATTATTAAATAATTCGATCTGTTCTGCTGTCTGTTGGCTGATTATTCAACAGTTAAAGGATAAGTGATAATCGCTTAATAAAACACACCTTGGTTTGGTAACATTTATTAACATCATATATCATCACTTTGACAGTCGATGTGTGTATTCTAAAACCTACGTTTATCGAAAAAAGTAAATAGTGACAAAAAGCTTTCGGTTTCCGTTCGCGAATGCGAAATTTGTTGTAATTCTTCATTGTAGTAATTCTTTTATAATGTTTTATAAACTTTTCAAAAGGCAAAAAACAATCACACCTGCTTCGTGTGTGTGATTCAATATTCAAAAAACTTGTTCGAGGCATTTGCGCTTTAGCGAAATATGTATCATTTTTATCGGTCTATTTATCTTCTGCATCACGTATATTTTGCATTGCATATTTTAGCTGTCGAGATTCGCATTTGTATCAATAGTATAAGGCCATTTACTTTGAACTTGCATTCGCATTCAAGCGGTAAAAATTTCAATCATTTGTGCTGATTTGTTTTATTGGTTTGTGTGAATTAACAGGAACATTTCTTGTTCAATAAAGTTGGTTGATTATGAAGCTGTAATGTGCCCTAGAGGCAAACATGCTGGTATCTTAAGACGGTAGATTCTCATTCTATGTAATATCATCGTTGGAGATTCAGATTTGGGTTATCCGTTCAAACATGGGGTGGTTCGGTTTACACTGGACGAAACGGGTCATTCGAAATTTGCAATTTACTTTCCAAGGTTAATTTTACCCAACATATTGGTGGCCGTGGAAGTAGCCGATTCCTGGACCTTCGTAGCTGCGTCACTGACATTCTAAAATTGTATGAGATAAGTCAGTTATATTTTAAAATTAAGTATTTGAACAATTAGAACTTACCTGTACCAATTCTCCACGTTTCTCATCAGCGTACTTATTAGCATCTTGAAGCTTCTTGTCAACTTCGTTACTGACGGTTTTCATTCCTAGAATAGGTGAATCAAATTAAGTCATTTGCATACTAACTTATATAGATCGATCCACTCACCATCGTCAATTTTCTCTTCGGCAGCCTTCATTTGGTCTTCGATGGCCTTCTCGACCACCTGAGCACTCTGCTGGACGGCATTTTCAGTGGCCTGCTTGGCATGATCCATCAGGGTACCAGCAGCCTATGAGTAACAACCAGAACGAGTCATTATAATTGCAATGGTTCTTACGTAGATCGCACCAATTACCTGAGAAGTTCCTTCGGCAACGGCAGCCGCTTGCTGCTTGGTAGCGTCGACCTCACTCTTGGCCGAACTGGCAAGATTCTCTGCTCCCTGTTTGGTCTGGTTGAAGGCATCCTGCGTCTTTTTGGCCTGATCCTCAGCCATGCTCTGCGCCGTTTGCACCTTCTCGTTGGTCATATCCTGAGCTTCCTTTTTCTTCTTTTCGAAGAGACCTTCGGCCTTGCTGCCAAGGCTCTTCAGAGAGGCTGCAATGAGACATAGAAAGATGGTTTGAATAACTGATTTACGTTTTGTATTATGAAACTATTAATGTAACCAATGATCCCGCTGATTCGCCTGATTTGGCGATGTAGAACTTACATATAGATATAGCTAATTTAGGACTTAAAATCGTTATGTTAGCCATCTAGTGCATATACTGCCCGTGAATGCATAATTGTCGCATGTTCTATGGCACATGAGACGGCTTTAGGAAATCACTACGCACGATCAAATACCCAGTTTTATGAACACAGAAATTTAAACGAAATTTGAGCAATACAACTAAAAAATCAATTAAAGTAATTTTCCTCTCTTGGAGTTTACTCCTGCATTATATCATGAGCAGTTATTTGAGAGATAAAATCTAATGAACAGTCTGACTGGAATGATCAGTAATTTATAACTCATGAAATTTACTCCATTTTTAAAACATGAGCATTGAACAGTGTTGCGAACGTGACATTTGCTAATCAAGCAACATCATTAATTATCAAGGAAAGATCAGAGTTTGAAAAAAAGAATTTCAGAAAAAAACCATGTTTCGTCGTAAAGTAAAAACAGATATAAGGATAACGTTTTGCAAAGAAAGTGGACCGAAAGATTACAAGACTAGTTGTTTATTTAGGTCTATGTCTGTCGCGCGCATGTCAGTATAGCTTAGAATAGAGTTGTATGATATGCGCTGCACGATAGATAAGCGCATGCCAGAAGGGCGAATAGGAACACGTCCACATTTATATTTTGTAACCTGAATTTGAAAGCGATGCGAGGTGAAAGTTTGTTACGTAAATTAGGAGAGAATGAAGGTCTAGTTTTTTTTTTTAATGTTGTCCCATTTTCACCTACACATTAGATTAGGGAATTTTGTCTACTCAAGGATCATTTTTAGGATAGAATTTCGCTATATAAGGGAAAAGAATTGTGGAATAAAGTTAGTTCATAAGTGATACTCAATGCGGCTGTATCGTTGTTTTCATCCGAAAACTCCTAGGCAAGTTTCTAGTTCGAGAAAAACTGTAGATTCCCAAATTAGAATAGCCTTTCACAATAGTTAGAGTACTGGCTCTTGGGCATAAAATCTTAAAGGTATTTCTGAGCTAAAAACTATATTTTCAATTGATTGAGACTCTCTCCACTCTATAAGCATAGGCTATCACCCTGGTTAGAGCAACTAGCTTTGAGTCATGCGGGAATTTCAAAAAAATTGAAAATAGCAAGGTTTCCAACTTGCAGTTGGTCGAGTACTTCTTCACCCGACAAATAAAATAATTGTTAGCAGCGATAGCGTTCCTTCGCACGACGTTTAAATCGCAGGCAGTGCTTTGACAAACAAAAGGTATTTAATAATTGAACTGAAAATGCGTTCTATCTTGAGCTGTTCTTTGACATATAAAATCGGTTGAGCAACTCAGCTGCTCAATAGTAATTCAGATTGGGGGTGTGTAGAATCAACTCACTTGACTTGTGTATTTGCACCTTAAGAATTTTCCATAGAAAAAGAGCAAAAACTAGTAATATAGCGTAATGCTCGTAATGCTTATGAGTAACACAATATAAAATACATCAATTGTGTACTCTCCCAATCATAAGTTTGGGGTCACCCTTTAAAATATATGTTAATGGTTGTTGCTCATATCTTGCTGGAACGATTGATTGATTGATTTATCTTTATTAGGGAGGCTTTCAGCCTGGGGCTGGTTCGCCTCCACTTGCTGGAACGATTAAAGCCGAAGAGTTTTGTCCCATCAACATGTTGCACACATTAGAGAAAATCTTAGAACTTGTTGTTAAAGGCCAACTGTTGGAGTATTTGAGTAGCAACTCTTTATTGATACCAGAACAATCGGGATATCGGGAAGGTCATTCTTGTGAAACTGCGTTGAATTTGGTGTTAGTAAAGTGGAAAGACAACTTGGAGCGTAAAGATACGATTGTTGCTGTTTTTTGGATCTGAAACGCGCTTTTGAAACAATTTCTAGGCCCTTACTGTTAAGTACAATCAAGCGCTTTGGAATTAGGGGTCGTCCATTAATTATGTCACACATTTAGGGGGGAGGGGGGTTTTGAAAACTGTGACGAGCCATACAAAAAAAATTAAGGTTCATACAAAAAATGTGACAAATTGGGGAGGGGGGTTGAAAATGGCCCAAATTTGCGTGACATAATTAATGGACCATCCCTTACGAGTACTGCATATAAATAGCTTTCAATATTTGTCTGACAGAACTCAACGGACTGTTTTTAATGATTCTGTTTCCAGTCCCGTGGGGAATAACCTTGGAGTGCCCCAGGGAAGTGTATTAGGGCCCCTGTTATTTATTATGTATATTAATGACTTGCGCCGTGTTTTACGGTTTTGCGACATTAATCTTTTTGCAGATGATATTGTGTTATTCATTGCAGCTAAGGATTTAGAAGTTGCCGTCTCACACTTGAATGAAGATTTGCAGTATCTAAGTAGAAGGGTTGAAGTGTAAGCAGTTAAAATTGAATACAAGTAAAACTAAATTTATGGTAATTTCGCGGAATCGATTAAACGATAACGTCTCTATTGTGATTGAGGAAGAGACTATTGATCGCGTTCAGGAGATTAAATATCTTGGCGTGATTATTGATGGCAAACTTAAGTTCAACTCTCACATTGACAATGTCATCAAGAAAATTGCCAAGAAGTATGGAATTCTATGTCGATTGAAAAACGATTTAACTATTGCCAGTAAAATACAGCTATACAAATCAATCATCTGTCCTCATCTGATTTGCCCATCCATTTTAGTTCTGTCCAATGCAACACAAATATCGAGATTACAGCGCTTGCAGAATAAAATAATGCGTTTGATTTTGAGATGTAATAGATTCACTTCCTCAACTTTGTTGCTAGACGACTTACAATGGTTGTCGGTGAAGCAATGAATTGTATATTTGACTATGGTGTTCATTTTTAAAGTAGTTTACGGTTTGCTGCCTCGATATTTGTGTGATCGAATTGAAAGAGGAAGTGATTATCATAGATATAATACTAGAAACGCGGATGAAATAAGAACACCTTGTGCTTCACAGAATTCATTATTTTTTAAAGGAATAAATGTTTTCAATTCGATGCCTAGACACATTAAACGTGCAACAACATTAGCAGAATTTAAGAGACATTGAATTTCACACGTTAAAACTGACTTTGAACGGTTATCCTGTGATTTTTTTTTATGAATTGACAAATTATGTATGTATCTTGACGAAGTTATTTTTAACGGATTATTTTGTATGGATAGCTGTTATAACGACTATTTAATAATTATTGTAGCACTGCAAAAAATATTTTGTTCGCCACGATGGTGATGATGGATTTTTGATATTTGATTTAATAGTAGTAGTAAAAAAATAGTAGTCTACAAAGGTTTGAGCCTCGCGCGCGTATTACGGATATAGAGGACTGAATTTAACATATGATAAAAAAAATGCAATTTTGAAGCTTATTTGGAAGATACCTTGAGTTAGTAGTAAGTTTTCTGACATATTTTGGGGGTTCGTGAGCATTCCTGGCATTGCTGAAGATTATGATAGCATCAGATTGCGGGGTTGCTAGTGTAATAGGATGCTTTGTTGATTGTTCATTAACTCTTGATCGCTTGTAATACTTATGAATTTTTTAGGTGGACAAAAAGGCGAACTAAGAGGTGGACGCCTGAGCTTTTCCACATTTATATCGCTGTGAAGCAACTGTAAACTCTAGAGGGAATATATATCTGTAAATGTATATTCCGTCAATGTATTACTTTAATCTGTTAAAATTAAATGAAGTAGTGTAATCATGTTTATGAGTAAACACTTTATTTCTACTTATGAAATAGATCATCAAAACACATTTTTCTTTCAGCGATCCAGTTGGAGCAGGGACAGCTATTGGATCGAGAATTTATCCGATCCGAATTATTTACTATTCCGAACTGGCTGTTCAGTGCTATATCAAACATTTGAATTCTATTGCTTAACTGGAGGTTAATGGTGCCGTTGTCGTCCAGACTCGCAACCAGATGCCAAACTGACCTTCCTAACCTACCAGTCTGAACTGCCACAATAAAAGCGTATGTTGGACTGGATTACCGCAAGCTGCATGAGTATGGAATTATTGACTACGATGCTAGTAACTACGCTGGTTATTTGTCAGAGAGCAATAGAAATACAATGAAGCATAACTGCCAGCAATTCGTTTGTATCAGCTTTTGTATCAGCTTCACGCAAGCTCGAAGAAATATAGTTTTGCCGAAACTGAGAGTGAAAGTTTATTCATTTGAGTGGAGGCGAACCAGCCCAAGGCTGAAAGCCTCATTAATAAAGTTAAATAATAATAATAATATTCATTTGTTATTCAAACAAGTTGTTAATTTATTCAAAGTGAATTATTTCAAAGAATAACCTGTGGTCCTGCTGTTATTGAGTGCTGCTCCGTTCTCCCAATATCACTGTTTGTTCTTGGACGTTGAGTGCTACTTTGCTGTTCGGATGCTGAATTGTTGCTGCTGCCGTTGATGTACGGTTCTACCAACAATCAATACGAAACTATCGATTTGAAATTGGCTCACTACTTGACTAGCCTATTGGTCCCAAGCAAACGATTAACGTATCCCATTCTAGTCATAATTCTAGTACTACACTATATTCTTTTGATTCTCTATGACAGATAAAATGAGGGGTTCGTGGATTTTCCCATGTTTTGAGGGGTGCATCGATTAGCTTGGGACCGAAGATAGTACCAGAGCTGAGGTAAAAAGTTGAGCACGTTTCTTCGGGACCTACTAGTCTTAGAGTTACCTATATGGTTCTACCATAGAGGTAACTCTAAGACTAGAAGGTCCCGAAATAACGTGCTCAACTTTTTGGCTCAGCTCTGGTACTCTCTTCGGTCCCAAGCTAATCGATTCACCCCTCGAAACATAAGAAAAACCAATCACCCCTCATTTTATCAGTCAAACTTTCATAGCGAATC